AAAAGTTCCGATTTTGTGCTCCGCGGCTCTAGCACTTGCCAGAAGCGGCCGACGGAGGCCCCCTCCCCCACCGTCTATCCTCTCGAATATCGCCTCGGATTCACTTCGCACGTCCTACCTTCCAGAAAGTGGTCGCTTTCTGTTCAGAGAGTTGTTGCTACTCTCTTCTTCGATCTCCTGTTGAGTTCGGAAAGGTTTGATCCCTATTCAGCTGAATTCCTGAGACCAGACGAAACCCAGATCTCCTACTCCTCCGCCATCTTGCTCCGCCCCTAATCCGGCTTTTGGGTTTCTTTCAGAGGGGATTGCTCTGTGTGTGGCTGTACAATCAGTGTATCTGTGGGAGAAAGGAAATTCAGGAGCCACCTGTGTTGTCATCTTGGTGGCAAAAGCAAATAAAACAACTTTTTTTTTTTTTAATTAAGAAAAGAAAACCGGTCCCGGTGACCTCAGGTAGAAGATACAGGTCTTAAGAACCGGTATCAACTATTTCTGGGCCAGTTGCCTCATAACCTTAAGCACACAAGCTTTAAGGAAGGATGTGGAATCATTTCTAATTCTCTACACTGTGCCCCTCTCACCAGGATCAACTCAAGACATGACAGATGACATTAGAGTTCTTTCCAGTTGTGCTACTGTCAGCAAGGAGCTCAGCCAACCTAACCAAGATCACTTGAGGGCGTAGCACGGGTAGGATGAATATAATTCATCTTTTTTCTCTTTGCTAGGTGCAGATGAATTCTAGTTCCCAGAGAACTGTTCCTTTTTGCTTAAAATAGTATCAAATTTTCCGTCCAAGTCTTCTATGAATAGGGGCAATTTGATTTGATGTTAGGACAGAGCTTTGGAATCTGCTGGTGACACAGTACCTTGGATTCTCTGCAAGGCATCGGTCAGCTTGTGTTCTCAGGACTTAGTTTTTTCCTCCATAAAATGGGAATGAAAAATACTCATTTATTTCAGGAGATTTTAGGGGAATTATTTAAAACTATTTTTTAACTGCTGAATAACTTAAGTGGAAGGCAGTGAGCGTGTAGGAATTTTCGGGAAGAGATCTGATTAATATAAGTTGTGTTATTTTCTGGGTTCTTTAGAGAAGATATGGAATGAATTTTAGGCTGGGAATAAGGGCCATCTCAAGGTCTGTCTTTTGGAAAAGAGCTGGAATTCATTCCTAATACTGGCAGCTTACATGTAGGAAAGTGCTTCCTGGCCCTGATCTGAGATTTGAACAGTGTTTGAGTCTTACCTTGGAAGAATCATTTGACATGAAAAGACATCTAAGTTTTTATGTAATTCTTATAATATTTTTATAAGAAGAGATTAGACATTTACCTCCAGATGAAAGCATAATGTTTTCGTGTTTAGTTTTCTCATAAATTAATCCATGTCTGAGGCGCCTGGGTGGCTCAGTTGTTAAGCGTCTGCCTTCGGCTCAGGTCATGGTCCCAGGGTCCTGGGATCGAGCCCCGCGTCGGGCTCCCTGCTCAGCAGGGAGTCTGCTTCTCCCTCTGACCCTCTTCCCTCTTGTGCTCTCTATCTCTCATTCTCTGTCTCTCAAATAAATAAGTAAAATCTTTAAAAAAAAAAAATAACCCATGTCTTTATTTTTTCCTGCAGACAAAACTGTGTGGAGTTTTACCCCATATTTCTGATTACATTGTGGATGGCTGGATGGTATTTCAATCAAGGTAATTTTAAAATACGATCAACTCTGTTCTAATGATGACTGTGGTTCTTTGAACCATTAAGGAACAGATGTGCGAACATACATCTGCTGATCCCGGAAATTGTTTTAAACAAAATAATCCATGTCTCTGTGCATCAAAGAGCAGTGTTCTGCAGATAAGCTAACTTTGGCTTCATTTCAATTTAATTCAGTAAAAAGAAAACCAAAAAAACCCAAACTTGGAACAAACTGCAGGCTGGGCATTCCCGGATGAAAATGACATGAGCTCTGTCTTCAACTCTGGTTCCTTAATTCTAGTTTCTCTGCAACAATTCACCCTAATGATCATAGCTATTATTTATTGAGCACTCACTATGTGCCAGGTACTGTTTTAAATTTTCAAACCTATCCAATGTACAGGATATGGAGGATTAAAAACCTTCCTATGAGGTAGGTTCTATAATTAATGCCTACTTTACAGATGAGGAAGCTAAATCACAGGTTAAGTAATTTGACCAACTTAACATTCATCAGTGTGGGAGAAAATTGGCTTTCAAGTACAGGCAGGGTCTATAGGTGTTTCCCCAATAACCCATGTACCTTTTCTTTAGTTCACAAAAATGTAGTGTTCCTGTGTGTAGCAACTCTGCACACATCTGGGAATATCCTTGGTGAGCTGAAGGCTTAACCCAACTCGGCCTGTCTCTTTAACAGGGGGTCAGATTAGCACCAGATACCTTAGTTGGAGAAATTCAATCTCTCTTGCTTTCTGATAACTTTCATCACCTCATTTGGGTCTGACACTTAATGGCTAAGATTGCAGTAAACGCCAATCCAGCTGCTTTCAAAGGCAACCCCATCACTGTCTTCTTGTAATTTTTACTGTCAACTGAAGAATTTGAGATAAAATGTCCTTCAGAGAGAGACTTCTTAACTCTATTCCAACTCACATTTTTGTCCCCTGAGGGCATGAATGGAGGCCGTTGTTCCTTGTCAGGTAAGACGGCATTAACAACTAATAAGAAAAGTGCCTTTGATAATGGGACTCAGTCTCTGCTGTTTGACCCTTTGGATATTTCACTGTAATGGGCCTCATTCAAGGATTTTCTGTCATAATTTTCATTCTTTCTCATGAAAAGTTAAGTTGCCTATTAATTGTCCTGAATAGTTCTCATTGGCTTCGCGGGAGTTAAGTCATCAAAGCGGGGGCTGGGGGGGGGGGCTTCAAAACTGCAGCCTGTTTCAGGATCTCTCCACTTCCTCCCTCACAGGCAGGTGCCCACCCCTCATCTCTTCGCTTGGCCCCCTGCTTCTCACCTGCAGGCCCCACACAAGCGTCCTCCCCTCAGGAGGCCTGTCCCGACCCCTTTTTAAGGGCAGCCGAGGGCGCCTGGGTGGCTCAGTTGGTTAAGCAACTGCCTTCGGCTCAGGTCATGATCCTGGAGTCCCGGGATCGAGTCCCACATCGGGCTCCCTGCTCAGCAGGCAGTCTGCTTCTCCCTCTGACCCACTTCCCTCTCGTGCTCTCTGCCTCTCATTCTCTCTCTCTCAAATAAATAAAATCTTTAAAAAAAAAAGGGCGGCTGACTCCACCCCTGCTATTCCATCCAACCTGCTTCATTTCCTTCACTGCCCTTTCAATTCTGTGATGTTCTTCTAATTTTTTTCCGTGTTGTCTGTCTTTGCTGATAAACTCTGTAAAGGTAGGGAACTTGTATCTATTTCACTGCTAACCCCAATCCTTAGAATAATACCTGGTATAGAGTAGAAACTAAAGAAAAGGTTTGTGATCTAATAAAATAAGGAATTTAATTTTATCCAGGATATCAGAGCCCCACAGATAGACTTCAAGTGTGTACCAGAGGGCTCTTGAAATTTGCATCCATTGGGTGCTGAGGAAGAGAGAGGGTCCCTGACGGTAAGGGAAGATACTGATATTTTCTGTTGGACAAGATGGCAGAGGATCATGCCACACTTTACATCTCTTTTAGGTAAAATTTATATTCTGTATAGTGAAAGGCACAGGTCCTACATGTACCATTCAGTGAGTTTTAACAAGTGTATACCCATCTAGAAGGAGAACATGACTACCACTTGAAGTTTTTTTTTTTAAAGACTGTATTTATTTATTTACTTATTTGAGAGAGAGAGAGAGCAGGGGGAGGGGCAGGGGGAGAAGGACAAGCATGTGGGGCTTGATTTAACAACCCTGAGATTACGACCTGAGCTGAAACCAAGAGTTTCACGCTTAACTGACTGAGCCACCCAGGCGCCCCCAGAAAGTTTTCTTATGCCCCCCCCTTCATATGCCCCTCCTCATTAGGCACTTTCAGAGGCAAACACTAGTCTGGTCTTTTTCATCATAGTTTAGTTTTGTCCATTCTAGAACTTTCCATAATTGGAATCATACAGTATGTACTCTTGTGCAATGCTTCATTCACTCAGCAAAATGTTGAGACTCACTATGTTGTTGCAAGTATCCGTGTCTTTTCGTTGCTGAGTGGTATTCTGTAGTATGATTATCTCAGTTTGATTACCCATTCTCCTATTGATAGGTTTCTGGGCTCTTTCCCGTTTTTACTATTATGAATGAAGCTGCAATGAACATTCTGTAAAGTGTTTTTATGGACATGGGCTTTCATTTCTTTTGGGTAAATATATAGGAATGGAATTGCTGGGTCAAAAGTATGTTTAGCTTCATAAGAAACTACCAGAACTTTTCCCAAAGTGGCTGTACTATTTTGCACTCCCACCAATAATGTATGAGGATTCCAACACCGCCAACATTTTGTGTTGTTGGTCTGTTTAAATTTTAGCCGTTCCAGTGGGTATGCAGTGGTGTCCTCTCATTGAGGTTTTAAGATGCAGTTTGCTGATACTGAATGATGTTGAATAATATTGAAAAAAAACTCTCATGTGCTTATTGGTACATTTGCTTATCTTCCTGCATGAATTGTCTATTCAAATATTTTGCCCATTAAAAAAATTAAGTTGTTTTCCTTTCACGATTGAATTGTTGAAGTTGTTTGTGTATCCTGGACACGCACACGTTTTGTGAGCATTTTCTCAGTTGTCATACCACATTTTGAGAGACCGCCATCATATTCTGTATCTTCTCTATTTTCTCTCTATAGTTTTTGCTACTTGTCTGGGACTGGTCTATATATATGCCCGTCACCAGTATTTCTGGGGATATTCAGAAGCAGCTAAAAAAAGGTAAGGAGAACCTACGAATTGGGTGTTTAGGCAAAGAGTAGCAAGATGGAGTCTGAATTAGCTGCACGTTCCAGAGGGTATTGGCAGCCCCAATGGTCGTGGTTCTTCCCAGGCTGTGAGGAACTAGGGGTAAGAAGGGAACGTCAAGTACAAACTGTACACTCAGTGTGCACTCATGGCCACCACACTTGAACTCCTTGCAAGAATTGTGCACAATCTCCAAAAAGTTGCAAAGGAAATAATCCTGCCCAGTCTTGATCATCCTTTGAATGTGCAAAGGGGCCAGCCTCGGTGGCTAGGCATCCCCTTGAATTTATGGGACGAATCAAAATTTTCAAATGGCAAAAGCATGGAAGTTCTGGGCAGTGCCAGCAACGAGCAGCCTACCTCAGAACGCTTCCCTTCATCACTGCCGCTGGTTATCACCTCTCTGCTTCATGTCTGTCTCGTAGGATCACCGGTTTCCGGCTGAGTCTGGGGAGTCTGGCCTTGCTGACGGTCCTAGGCGCCCTGGGGATTGCAAACAGCTTTCTGGATGAATACCTGGACCTCAATGTTGCCAAGAAACTGAGACACTTCTGACGTTACCCCCTCCCTTTGCCCACATGCTTGCAGAAGCTATTTCCACCCTGAAGGTCGTGTGGGGTCAACTGATCAATTCTTAAAAAGAAAAGTCTTTGTTTTGTTTTTCCTGAAATGGCTTTGTAGGAACATACCCACTAGAGAATACATTTCCTGTTTAAGAATTAAAGTCCGCCCTGAGGGGATAGAGCCACATCCTCAGTGGAAGTACACAGGCTCTGGTTCTGGAAGCCTATGCTGAAGTCACGATTGCTTATGTGGGGAGAAAGCAGCCTGACCATGTGCCGGGTTTTCTGTGGGGCCACCATCGTCCCCTGCCTCTGATGATCGTCCCACGTCTGTCTTGATGGAACGTTCCAGACAGATGCTGATAAGGCAGCCGTGCTCACTTTATTGGTTGTAGGAGAGCAACATATGGCTGCACATGGGGGACGTCAGGCAAACACGTAGAGTAGCCAGAGAAGAGAGTCATCAACTAATAGCACAAAACAAATCTGGGTGCAAAATTTACTTTTTAAAGAAAAAAGGAAAAAGAAAAAAGAGGGGGGGCATTCATTTTTAAGGAACCATTCAGAGACTAGTGTGCAGTGGATGTCCTTGCCCCTGGCCAGGGGAAGGAGGGGTATGGTCACAGCTAGAGCTGGGTTCCGCTGTACGTCCTGTGTCCTGCATGGTTTGGGGTCGGCAGCTGTTGGTGACCCTGCAGTGCGGTCACTGTGTGGCACAATGCAAGTGGTCCTCCTTTACTTTCTTCATCTTCTTTTTTTTTTTAAATTATTTATTTGAGAGAATGCACAAGTAGGGGGAGCAACAGAGGGAAAGGGAGAAGCAGGCTCCCCGCCGAGCAGGGAGCCCAGATGCAGGGCTCGATCCCAGGACCCTGGGATCATGACCTGAGCCGAAGGCAGACGCTTAACGACTGAGCCACCCAGGCGCCCCTACTTTCACCTCACAGTCTTCAGGGACGTTAGGAAAATGGAGTTATGAGCACAGATAACACATTTTAACATCCGGGAAAGGGCTCTTTGTCCATTTTTCTAAAGAAATCTGGACAGCCTCGAGTCTTTTATGGGCATCTTCAAGAAGCTGTTGACTGGGGGGGGCACAAAGGAAGTTTTAAAAGACTGAATAATAGGAAAAGAAATAAAGGCAATTAAACACCAGCGTTTCCAGAATAGTGGGGAAGCGATGACACTGCCCTGCACCCCACGTAGCGGTACTAAATATTCCCAAATACACTGAGAACACAGCCGTCTGGGAATGGGGATATCAGGATCCTACTCACTGGCTGTTTGCCTTCGAATAAGGCACCTCAGCAATAGGGGCCGTGCAGTGAAGAAGTGACGCCCAGAGCCAGACAACACTAACCTTCTTATAGCACGTGCTGGGGCCTCCTACCGCGGCTCTTCGTGGCTCTCGGCCTCCGTTTTCCTTGGGCAAAATGGGGCTTCCCTCACTCTAAAATGCTGTGTTTCTCTGGCCTTTTGGCTTGTTAGTATTCTGATCAGTTATGGTGACTTGTATGGTGACATTTAATTGTTTTACACATTGAAGACAATAAGGAAGAAAGAATGCAAATTTCTGACCCCGAAGAACAATTACTGCATAATCATATCCTTCTGAAGTGGGGAAAAGAACACTCGACTTTTCCCAATCTTACACTTGAGGATTTACAAACAATTTCTATTTTGCATCTAAATTGGAGCTATTTAAAAAGGTAAACTACAGGGGCGCCTGGGTGGCTCAGTCAGTTAAGCATCTGCCTTTGGCTAAGGTCATGACCCCAGGGTCCTGGGATCCAGCCCCGCATCAGGCTTCTTGCTCAGCGGGAAGCCTGCTTCTCTCCCTCTGCTCCTGCCCCTGCTTGTGCTCTCTCTCAAATAAATAAATAAAATCTTTAACAAAACAAAACAAAACAAAACAAAAAGATAAACTACAAACACACACACAGCATTTGGTTAAAAATGTGGAAAAAGAAGAATGGGTACACCAGGATATCAGAGCTTTGTATCTTTAAACATCTGAACTGTAAAATTGATTTCCTTTGTTCTAATTCTATTGTCACCAAGGCAACCTCTTGATTATTTTAATTCCTATAAATTTGGCTACAAGGAGGAAACGTGCTGACCAGAGAGATGTGTTTCTGATCTGTTCAAGAGTTATATAGGTATATGTTTTGTATATTAATGAGTTGATGGGTTTTATTTTTAGAAATCAGATTCATTGTCTCAAAAAAATGTTAAGAAAAAAGGGGATGGAGAACCATTCTATATTAAAAGAGCCTTAAGAGGCATAAAAACCAAACGGCAATATTGGATCCTTGATCAAATCCTGGTTGGAAAAAAACAGCTGTGGAAGACATTTGGGAGACAGTTGGGACAATCTGAATATGAAGTGAGAATTAGGTGATATTAGGGAATTAATGTTAATTGTGTGAGGTGTGAAATTATCTTGTGGCTAGGGAAGAGAATGTCCTAATTCCTGGGAGCTGCATGTTGAGAGGTTGAAGGGTGAAGTAGCTGAATGGGGATAACTTACTTGAAATGGTTCTGCAAAGTATACATGCAAAGCATATATGGCAAAGTGCTAATAGTTACTAAATTGAGGCTAGTGTGCAGTTGTGCATCGTTCTGTCTACTTTTCTGTTTGATAATGTTCATAATGAAAAGTTTAAAAATCATTTCTAAGAAGTTAAAACCTAAAATCAGATTCTTGGTAGCTGTGAACATTTTTTTTCTTTTTTTTTTGTTTGAGCACTGTATGCTTGTTGTGGGATCTGTGGGATTGGTAAGGCCACCCTGTTAGTGGTGGGCCAGCAGCTGTCCGGGACCCGGCAGGGACACTGGGGCCCCGCTTGTGTGGGTACTGCCATAATCCCTTCCACCTGTTGCATGAAATCAGACAGGTTGTGGTAGCTTGCCCAGAAGACACCAGAGTGGGAATCAAATGTTGTTGGAACTTGAAAAAGAGACTAGAGGACAAAACTGAAGAGAGGAGAAGAGGGGGAAAAAAAAGAAAAAATAAAACAACAGAGCACGGATTATACAAACAAGTAGCCCTGTCCCTTCCCAGGCATTTCCCCTCCCCTGCCTGCCTTTGCAGGGTTGGAGGTGGGTGCGGTGTTAATAAGGAAAAACATACATCAGGTCGTTTTTTTCACACTTTGTCTCCGGACACAGTTTTCCTTGAAAAGAGTGGTCACAAGCAGATAGCTCATCTGATGCTTCTGAATGCTCCTTAATTTTCAGCAATAAAATACATCTTTCTCACTGGGACAGATGCTTAGTGATTTCCCCGATAGATGTTCATTCTCTGCCTCTTCCCCCCCTCACACACTTACTGCACTGGGATTACCTGTAAGAGATCGTTTCAAAGGAGAAGGGGATGCCATTCATCCAGTGCACAACACACTTTCGTGTGAATGAAAACGTGTGGTTTTAATTACTTGGGTCTAGGAATACTCAACTCTTCTCGGAGCTTCAAGCTTTTACTTCTATCAGCCTTCCCTGCTCCCCCCCCCCCATCATTCTTCAACTTCTTGTTATCTGGTAGAATACTACACCCTTATCGGTGGGACAAAGCCCCGTGTCACACAGTTTTCTCCACTCTGTTATTTGCCAGCCAGTCTGGAACCATAGTCTTCCAGGGGTAGGGCCGGCCTCTCCCATAGTCAAGTGCATTCTTTCTCTTGGTTAGTAGGTATTAAACCTCACCTTTGTTTTGGATCGGTTTTTGAGGATGATTTTATTCTGTGCTTGTGCCCTGTTTTTCTGCTTGACCCAGATAGTTTTGAATCGTGTTGTTTTACTATGCTTTTTCAAGTTTGATGGAAAGTCTTAGGTCAAGTCTCCTAGAAGGGGAAGGGTAGATTCACATGTGTTTTATGAGTGAAGGTCCCCCAGGAGGGCAATCAGAACAGAGTGGGGAAGGGCCAGGAGCCCCAGTAAGGACAACTTCAAGCAAAGTCCTAGCCTCTGCCTGATCCCACAGGGGAGCTCTAGAACATAAATCCTATTTCAGGGCTGGTCCAGGCCACCTGACTGCGTTCTCACACTCTTGCTCTAGCGGGACACTGACTAGGGTGGATCTGGAGAAATGTAAACTTCTAATCATTTCCAACAGTTTGTGGACGGTGCAGGCCAAGCCAGTCCTAGGCCCAGGGCAGCCCTTCAAAGAGAGATGCAGCAAGGGCTGGTAGAAATGAGGTGTCCGTGGGTTTTGTGTGTGTGTGTGTGTGTACACAGTGTCCACCACAGTGGGGCAAGACCCTTGTGTTACTCTTCCTTCCATATATTCCTTGAGGTTTCTTTTTTTTTTAATGAAAAATTTACTATCAATTTTCTAATGAGCCAGTTGGAAATTGAAAGTAGTGAATCTACAAATGGACTTCAGTATGTTCTTTTCAAAGCTGACTTTCTTCTCTTCTGTTTGCTACATCCCTTGGGGTGCAAATTTAGAAAGTTTTAGTTGTGTGGTTGAATTGAAAAGACTGGGAATGATTGATCTCCACTGTTAAATAAATGTTTAATGATATCACGAATTTTGAGACAAGAACTGCAGTTAATCAATTAAAACCCAGGCGTAGTATATCCGTTTAATTAAGGTTGGAGATCCAGTGACATTCCTAAAATAAACTATACTTTGGATCGATTCAGATAATGATCTTTTATTTGTTTTCTTTTCTTTAAAAGTGGTATGTCAACATCACTTCATTTCTACATTTCAGAGTTCTGTACATTTCTTAAAAGGAAATAAGCAATGCTCAATGTACAAAGTAAAAACAGAAAACTAGAAAAATCTGAATAAAATGGAGCAAGTTGCCATAGGTCATACAGTACAAATTAGTCATTAGATGTCATCTGAAGTGCAATATACCACTGCTGTGATGATGAGTTAAGGAATGAAATAAAAATACTCTATTTTAAACAAACAGTATATATATATTTATATGTATATTTTTTACAGATAGTAGACCCAGTGATATCTGCAGTATTGTAAAAACTTATTTACAAATAACTTTTTTAGACATTACATATACATCAGCACCGTAGTAAAAACAAAAACAAAAACAAAACAAAACGACCTTATTAAAATCTACCTCTCTATTTAGTTGGTCCCAGTACTAAGCATTTGGAGGAAGCTATTAAAAAGTAATGGAGCCCCCTTCTCCCATCAGCCACCTCCAGCTTCTCATCATTGCTCATATATTTGTTTCCTGTTACCTTTCAGAAAAAGGTAATTATGTTTTCTGTCTTATTTACTTTTTTGTTTATTTTCTTTTTTTGGTTTTTACCTGTTTCTACTCAAGAGTTTCCATGGTGGTGTCCCTCCCTGGGCAAGGAGTTCATGGTCACCTGCCACCACGTCTTCCTAGGAGGAGACGAGCCCCTGCCTGGGCTCTTGCCCCCCTGGCCTCCTCTGGTCTCCATCCTGCCCCTCGCTCAGTAGATCTACCACCTTGGGCCATGGCGAGCAAGCCAATGACAGTGTTTGCCTGCCTGCCGCCTCTCCGCCCTCTGCCCCCAGCTTTCCATTCCAGCCCCCTGTCTCAGGAACGCCCTGTGAGTGCAGCCGGTCCAGCTCCCCACAGCCTGGCTGCAGCGAGGTACGAGTAGGTGCACAGAAGGAGCCAGGCTTTCGGACGCTGAGGGAGCGTGTGGTGGGAGAAAAGCATGCTCCACTCTTACTCTGGACAGTAATTATGCCACATGGCCTCCAAAATGGGGCGGTGGGAACAGCAGCAAGGACAAAAGACACAAGCCTTACGTTAAGTAGCAGAGGTTGTCATCCTTTCCGACAGCCTTCACTTGGGGCAGATTGGAGTGAATTACAAAGAGAATGACTGTACCAGGACTTTGGAAGTGGATGACTTTGCCCATATGGAAGCAACTGTATCTTCCTGCTTTTTATCATCAGAATGTGTCAGGTGGAGCCATTGACATTTCAGTTCATCTCTCAGCGTTTTAGATTTGTCTTTCTGGTCGGGGGGGACTAAGGGCAAGGCCAGTTTCAGAACACAGGGAGCAGGGTCAACGCCTTTGGGCCATGCCTCCCAGGGTAGAGCAGAAGTATCCGGTGTGGCTCACAGTAACCCACCATGGAGCATCAGAGGGGCCTGCTCAGTTCCGGGCAGAGAATATTCACTCAACTACACATTAGAGAAAGAAAACTCCAGTGTTGCCTTGGCATTTCAGGCCTTGTCTAAGTGCTTGCCTTTATTACGATTCTGCCCAGACCCCCTAAAGTCTTTTGTCTTCCTTTCTTCTCGTATAGTCTGTGAGGAGAAGCAAGGGCAGGATGGGGTGGAGGCAAGGAGGAACAAGGGCAGGGGTGCAGGGAAAAGTGGCCACACTGGCAGACACGGCATCCAGTTGGGGTCTCTCCCCACCCTGTGGCCACCGGAAGTAGATGTGAACTGCCTAGCCGCATTGGTATGACACCGGGCCCCCAGGAGGCTCCAGGTCGACTACCCAGAGTGCCGGCCGCCACCGTCACACCGGCAGAGGGCTGCCGGCGCCCCTTCTCCAGGCTCACGTGGCTCTCTTGGAGAGGCAGCTGACAGCAACGCCTCCGCAATTCCTGAGGGTCCTCACAGGGCAGCCGATGGGCTTGGAGGAGCCTTTGTGGTCTCCTGTTCGTCGTGCCTACCCTCCAAACACACTAGCGGGTCCCCACGCCTGAGCTCTCTTTCCAGCAGGAGTGCAGTGCATTTCCGACCTGTGCTCTTGGCCCGTGCAACCACGCAGCGGCCTCCGCGGGGCGCTGCCGGGCCCGCGGCTCTGCGGTGTGCGGTCTCCGGCCCGGGGCCAGGCGGGGCTGGCGGAGCCCTCACGCTGGGCAGCAGTCTGGCACGGCTGGAGCAGCGCTCCCTGCGCCCGGCGAGCACAGGGGCTGCCGAGCACGGGGGCTTCGGATCCGTCTTCCCCACCGGCCTCCGCGGCGTCCCCTTCTCTTGCAGCCGGGATCCGCGTGGCGTGTTGTCTCGACTGCTGTGTGAAAATCCGGTGAAATGAGGCCCAGCGGGGCTGTGGATTGGCACCTGGATCTTTCACTGTCAGCCAGCTGCAGTTTTGCTCAGTTTACGTGGGTCAAAAAAACAAAACAAAAGAAAAACAGGGATGGCTCAACATCCTGTTTCTTTTTCACGTTTTAGGCTTTCAACACTAGACTTGTGGCTCTCGGGGCTCCTCTTGACTAGGGGTTCCCAAACAACTCATCAAGCTCCTGCATCCACTCGTCCCCCGGCCCGCCTTTGATGATGGAGTCCACGAGGTCCGCACTGTCCGAGAGGCCCGGGAAGGAGGCCCCGGCTGCTTCGCCGCTGTAATTGTAGGACATGTCCTGAGCAGGGTTCCGCTCGTAGGCCTGGCTCTGGCTGCTGGGAGCGAAGCTGCCGCTGGGCATCTGCTGCTGGGCTGGGGGCTGGCTGAACGCTGGCATGCCGGGGACGCCCTGGCTTAGGCCAGACATGACCATGGGTCTGGCCTGGCCGCTGCCTTGCTGCCCCTGGAGCGGCGGCATCATCTGCCGACCCATGGCAGCTGGGTTGAGGGTTCGCACGGCGCCAGTGTTGGCATCCACAACCTGGCTCAGTCCCTGTGGGAAGTGTTGCTTGGTCAGTCTCGGCTGGCCAGCCTGAAGTGGGTAGCTGGCGCCATTGTTGAATGATCCCATTTCTCCACTAGTCCGCCCAGGCATCCCCTGCAAGCTCCTCTGTGGCCAGCTCTGCGTTCCCTGCTGGACTGTTCCCATAATGCTCTGCAGCCTTGGCGGGCCCTGGGGCCTTGGCAGGGCTTGGCTCACCGGCCCTTTCATCTGCTGGTGCTGCTGGGTAATGGCTGAGTTCACCAGCATGCTCTGACCAAAACCACTCACCATCCCAACCCCTTGCCCAGAGGTGGGCTGCCTGGGCCCCTGGGCTTGGTTGTGTGTGATGCCCATGCCACTTTGGTTTGGGTGCTGCAACATTTGAGTCATCCCTGTGCTCATATTGTACATTCCTGGTTGGCTGGTAGGTGTGTTGCTATAAGGGGCCAGTCCCATCTCTGACTGGGCTGCTGCCGCGGCCATCGTCCCTGGGTTCTGGGAGGGTCCCATTCCCATCATGCCTGCGTTCTGTGCCATCAACCGTGACGTTCGAATGCTCTGGAGGGCCGCTTGGCTTCTCACGGCTGCTATATCCTGGGGAGAACCTACAGGGGGAAAAAAGACATACCCATTCACTCGTCTTGATAAGCAGTTTGCTGTGACATGTTGGGATTATCTTTAGGCATGACAAAATTCTTTTATATGAAAGGATCTACTCTGATCCTAAGTCCTTAATAAAAATTATTTTTCTGACTATAACATATGCTGATTGTAAAAAATTCAGAAAATATTGAAAAGTACAACAATGAAAACTAAAGTTACCCGAACTCCACCCGCCCAGAGATAAACACTGCTAACTATTATATAAATAGACACATGAAAATAGGGATCGTACTGGACACATGATTTTGTAGTTGACTTGATAAACTTATTTTTGTTCACATTTCAAAAGCAAATTGTTTCTCACCCTTCTTGATAGGATGCCATCCTCAACCAATCAGACAGCATTATTCTTGGAGGTGAGAGGGAATTCACCTACTGGGCTAAATTAAGAAGCAACGGCTGATCACTTTGTGTATTCTGTTTGTAAAGTGGAACATGGTTCAGTAGAGAACAGTATCAATAAAGACCATTAGACTAATTTCCCTTAAGACTTGAGCAGGATTTGAGAGGTTAAAGGCCACTGCTCCTGCTAAGAAGCTATTTCGACAGATGAGACATTTTTTGGATCCACTCTATAGATTTCCACATGCTCCAGATTCTCTGAATCATAACATGTCAGGGCAAACTGGCCAGCTTCCTGAGCTAGAAAAAGAAATCATCCTGCTACTTGCTCCTTGGCAATGAACTTTATGCATTTTTGCAGCAAAGTCCACTCACTCCTTCAAGTCGGCAATGACCACTTCTCTCAGCAGATCACTAACACGGTTTTAATGATGCTGTTTCTAAGTTGACCACAGTATGAATGCCAGGTCCCTCAACTCTTAATTAGGCATTTGAGTGAGTCCTTCTGTTATGGAAGCTGGACTGGATCGCCCGATGGAAGAACCAAGCGGCACCCAGAGATCTTGGAGGATAGGAGGTTTATTTAACGCCTGCGGGCTCAGAGGAGAGTGGTCTCCAAAGGCCTGAGCCCCGAGCACAAACAAAGGAGGCAATTTATACACTTCTACTTCTGCATACTGGGCACTTTAGGCGCGTGCGTGAAGCAGGGCAGGGAGAAGGACCTGGATTGGTGCGCGTGGGAAGCAGAGCAGGGAGAGGAACCCGGAAGAGCCCCAGGGCAGGGACTGGGACTCTCCCGCTGGCTCGGTCGGCCGTCTTAGGACACAGATTTTCCTTATCCTTTCTTTATATGTTCCTAGGAAATTTCCAAATCAGCCAAGAGAATAGAAATGTCACCCTTAGAACCCCAGTCAATGTTGTAAAGGGCTAGGAGATGCACAAAAATGAGTTTTTTCTATGTCCCTGTTAATAATGATTAAGTCTATGAGACAAAGAAAAATTACGTTTGTTTTTTTTTTCTGGACACTTAAAAAAGATGCAGCATGGGAGCCAATCGATATTATAAGCAAATGTGATACTACCTGGAACTGGGATGAGAAACCAGATGAGAACAGTGTAAGCTTGTTAAGCCTGGCACCTGGGCAGTAAGTGTGTTTCTGTCTTCCTGATAGAGTTATTGATTTCTGGGCAGCAAATATGTCTCCATATTTTCTTTCTTTAAGAAAGAAAATTATGGGAATTTTGATTATGACTTAAGTTTTTGTGGCTTGAGATCAATATCATGCTGCATTGAGAAATGAAATGGTTTCTGTGGGGGAAAGCTGGAAGGGCTGGAGGGAGATCCCTAGAAATGTTTCAATTTTCTGTTTTAAGCTTCATTATATCTAAGTGATTTAAAAAAAAATCAAAAGTTCCTGTTAAACACTGGATGGAAGTATATATTGAGATTTATAATCTTGTTACGAAGTTTTGTGACCTTAATGACTAAATCTGTATCGACTGCATGGCCAATCTGATCAACTGTGGTGAAATGGGTTATTGAGTTGTTTATAAAAAAATTTTAAGGAGAAAATATTGCTGACTCAGAGAGACTGATTGGCTAGACCCAAATTACATAAATAGGCTGATGAGCTGCTGGAAACAGATGAAAAGACTTCCATATTTTGGACATTTTGTTGTATGTTTATAATGGATATATTGAGGGACTGGAAATGGTCTGGGCTACTTTGGTGAATGAGAAATAGGTTCCTCTTTTTAGAGGACAGAAATGCTGCAATGCCTTTTAAGAGGTACTGAACCATTAATTCAAGCCAACCTTTATTTTAAGTATAAAAGGACTGTACTATCTAGGTATAACTTTTATGGAAAAAAAAAAGTGCATTTTAAAACCAGCAATCAGTTCCATATTTTTATCCTAAGTAGAAACAAAATGCTTTTTATTAATCTAATTTTATGCTTTCAGTAATTTTAAATATGTATAGAAAAAATGCAAATGTGTCCAAAGAATTACCTTGCCGTTATCTGATTATTATATATGTTAAATAACAGACCAATTTTTTTCTTCTTCTTCTTCCATTTTTGTCTAAAACAGATATTATTGTGGGGACACTGTACTCATATTAATTTTCTTGCCCACCGGTTCACGTCACAATGTCAAAGAAAATCTTCCATATTCAAATAGAGATCATAGGCAATTTTTTCTTAAAAAGGTCTGTTTTCTATTTTCACTTGCAGGAAGCCTGTATTCATGAAAAATAAGCATTTCTCCATAGGCATGTAACATTGCCCAGAGGCACAAAACTCAATAAGAGAAAGATAGTCATTAAACCTTTGAAATGTGTAGTGGTGAGCGTTGGCGTAGGTTCTCATGCAAGTTATTCCTAACGGAACTCTCCAAGGACAGTATTTCTTATCTACCAATTTGCTGTTTTCCCAGATACATAACATTATGATATCTAAGGTGTTAGTAAAATAAAATAGGGAGGAGAGTAAAAAGAGAAAAAAAGTGTATCAGTCAGCTCAGGGACCCTACAATGTCACTGGTTGTTCAACTTAAGTACAGCTAAATTTTTAGGTTGATTACCTGTGGTGTGGGGTTTTAGACAAGTTCAAAGGGTAGAACCTTTAAAAACTGGATCCAAAGCATACAGAATAACTCATTAATACAAAAGAAGTATTACATTTCCGTGGGTCCCTTTATTCCAAAAGATAATAAATGAGTTACGAACCTAGAAAAGTCAAGGGACACTCTGCCGGGTTTATAAGATTTTATATTTTTAATTAGTTCTTAATAGAAATCACCGGTGCTTAAAGTGTGGTCCTTGGGCCAGCAGCAGCTGCAGAGCAAGTCCTGGGAGCTTGTTCGAAATGCAAATTCTCAGGCCCTACTCCAGACCTCCGGAAACTGGGGGTGAGGCCAGGCCGGCTGTGCCTTTTTTTTTTTTTTTTAATTCAAGTTAGTTAACATATAGTGTATTACTAGTTTCTGGGGTAGAATTTAGTGATTCATCAGTTGCATATAACACCCAGTGCTCATTACATCAAGTGCCCTCCTTAATGCCCATCATCCTGTTACCCCACCCCCCCACCCCTGCCCCCTCCGGCAACTCTCAGTTTGTGCTTTCACAAGCTCTGCTGGTGATTCTGATGCAGCTAAAGTTTGAGAAGTATAAGGATAAACCTGGGGGGGTGGTCTGTGTCTGCAAGAAAAACTATGCGTGTAAGAGTGACCGTTTCTACTCCCCTCTACCCATGACCAAATGAGAAAAAATTCTTCAAAGAATCTTGGTACTAATTTAGTGCACAAAACACCTGTGCACAGCTTCATTCCTTTTGTCCTTCCCTGGGTCAAGTCCAAAGGGTTCTGAAATGATACATGTGTTCCAGGGGTGGCAGGGACTGGTAGCTACCCAAGTGCCAGTATTTTCACAGGCAACCTTCAGTGAGATCTGGCAATGAACACCAGTGGCTTTCAGACTCTTTAAAACCACTACTCACTGGGTGCCTGGGTGGCTCAGATGGTTGAGCGTCTGCCTTCGGCTCAGGTCATGATCCCAGAGTCCTGGGATCGAGTCCCGCATCGGGCTCCCTGCTCTTTGGGAGCCTGCTTCTCCCTCTGCCTCTCTGTCTCTCATGAATAAATAAATAAAAATCTTAAAAAAAAAACAAAAACCACTACTCACAGTGTGTGATCCAGTATATACACGTGTGGGTTTATAACAGAAACAAAAGTTTCCCTTATTATGATACACTCTGATAATTGTTTTCTATTCTATTTCTTTTATTATTATTTTTTTAAAGATTTATTTATTTGACAGAGAGAGAGAGAGAGAGAGCGAGCACAAGCAGGGAGAGCAGGAGAGGGAGAAGCAGGCTCCCCACTGAGCAAGGAGCCTGATGAAGGACTCGATCCCAGAACCCTGGGATCATGACCTGAGCCAAGGGCAGACACCCAACCGACTGAGCCACCCAGGCGCCCCACTATTCTATTTCTTTTAAAAAATGTTGGTGGTGACCCATTGACTTGTCTTTACAACCTCCTTGTGTGTTGTATATATTTACATATATGCCTATTTATGTACAAGGGGATTCATAGCTTCTGGCAGATTCTCGAAGCCATAGGTTAACACTTGAGAAATTAGAACCTAGGATGTAGGTCCCAGGAAAAGGGTAGAGGATGGGAATTAGGATTTCTACTACTAAAAGCACAGTCGGCCTGGCCTCACCCCCGGTTTCCGGAGGTCTGGAGTAGGCCCTGGAGCCCCCTGAAAACTCCTGTGATGAGATTGGTAAGGGTCTTCAGGCTCACCCTCAACCCCATACAAGACCCTCAGGGGCTCTCTCTATCGGAGATGGAAGGGATTGTATTTGAGAGGACTTTCTAATACATAAAGGAATGGCAACACAGAGCCTACAATGTGCCCCTTGCTACTGGGTCACGAGTCAGGATTTCTGCAAAGGGCAGCAGGATCAAGACAGTCCAGTCAAACTCAAGGCCCTGTGCATCTCCTAGATTCAGCAGAGACTGGAGGCTGCTGCAAGCCAGATTCTTCCATGTCAGGCGTTGGAAGTGAGGGCTTTGGCCAGTTGACGAGTTAGGATTAGCAAGAGGGGTGTGGCACAGGACTGTTCCTCCCGCACTCACCAACAGGACGATCCAGACGTAGATAAGGCTGACAGGGAACCAACCAGGCACCAGCATGCCCTTGTTGGCTATTCAACTATTGAAATACTTCCACACCTTTGGTAAAGAACAGCTGTTCCAGCCCTGCCCGCCCCCCCCCAGCCACTCTGACCCCTCCCGGGGCCAACCAGAACCTCTCTGTGACCCAGCCACCCAAAGGTTAACACCTGGCACAGCAGGAGACTCCAAAAATGCATTCTGACGGATTGGTACCCTCACTTTTTTAATATTTTTACTATGACCTGACCACGACCCCAGCCCAGGAGGCAATGCCCCTTGGCTACACTTGCACTTACACGTCATGGCTGGAAGGTATAAAACGGAAGAGGGGTGCACTGGCCTCACCTTGGAACTGATTGACCTGCTGCACAGGGTAGGGATTCCGCTGCTGCTGGAGGTGCTGACGGGGTAAATTTGATTGCTGCAGCTGCTAGAACGACAGGACAAGAAGGGCGCGGGGGGGGGGGCGGTGACAGGGGAAAGACAATGAAATATTGTGGTAGTTTCGAGGCAGGCACTTTTTTCAAACACTAAACCTTGTGTTGAGGAATCAGGTGCATCCAGGCAGGTACACAAAGCCCGAATTTGACGGATTTTCACAAAGCGAACACATTCCCGGTAACTGGCATCTAGATCAAGAAACTGAGCTCTGCTGGGAGCCCCGCAGGCCCCTTTCCAGTCATTACTGACCCCAGGGAACCACTTCCTCTGGCCGGGGAACCACTCTCCTGACCTAACAACACAGCCTAGTGATGTCTGCTTTTGTACCTCATGTAAGTGGACTTATACAACGTAGTGGTGTCTGGCTGTGGCATCTGGCTTCTTGCATTCATCACTGTATTTATGAGACTCATCCATGTTGATGTGTGTAGCTGTGGTCAGGTCACTGTCACTGTCGAACAGTATTCCATCACATGAATGACTAGACCACGACTTATTTACCTATTCTACTACTAGTGATGGTCCCTTTAGAGTGTTTCCAGTTTTTGGCTGTCACAAATACTGCTGCTAGGAACTTCCTTGACCATGTCTTTGGGTGAACATCTGGCAGACCTCCTGGCCCATGAGGAGTGTGTACTGTGGGAGGCAGTTTTGACTTTGATTACCTGCCATCCCCTTGCATGTTTTCCTTAGCGTTGCAAGACCCAGCGCAAGGGACAAGCAACTAATTTTTGTCCTAAATCGATGCTTCCGGTACAAGAAGATGGGATTCTCAGGGGCTACAAACAAGGCTTATCTTATTCCCACGAGGCCACACTGCCTGTAAGATACATCCCCCCCCCAAGTAAAATACACAGCATTTAGTGCCGTAAGGAAACCGCATGCGACTCTGCATGTACCAGGAGCCAGGAGGCTGGCGATTTCGTCTTTCTTCTTCCACTCCCGGGGATTCTGCGCTGCTAGCACTGTTACCAATCTACTGGAAAGGCTATTATGATCATTACGATGCTGTATGTGAAAAGGGAAAGAAACTGAGAGCGAGGTGGAAAGAGCAGAGAAAGGGGTTTGAGTTTGCATGACCTTCGGCACGTCATTACCTCCTCCTGCCCCTGCTGAATATTCATGGCGCACCTTCCATCCGCATGGGCTTATAAAGAACACACAACAAGGGCCCTGCTCTTTCAAGTGTTCATTATAAAAATAACACACAATGACCACTTCTTAACACATGTGTTTATTTCTATTTTTCTCCTCTTGTTTTTGTTTCTGGGCAGCTCTATAATTTTCTTTCTCTTTCTTTTTCTCTTTTCTTTTTCTTGACAAGGCCAGCCCAGTACTCTGGCAACCAAAGAAAAGAAAAGCCTCTGCCCTGCTCACCCCATCCTGTGGTGCCTACCAGGGTGTTTTGCACAAACTGTTGAGATTAATTAACTGTGTAGATAAAGTGTAGACAAGAAACCATGCTAATCTTTTAGGCAGCAACAGAAGGGCATTATTGAGAGTAAACTGAGCACTTCAAAGCTTCTCCTCTGCCAAACTTCTCATATTATGTAAGAATTTAAAAGTCCCACTGCCAACTGGGAATAAGCCCTGGGGTGGCCTGGGGTGGGGTGGGGGTGGGGCTCCAGTTTCAGTCCCTGGCTCTGCCTCTCGAGCTCTGCCATCTCTGATAAATCCCATCAGCTGCCTGGCCTCGGTTTCCTCACAGGTAAAATACAAAAGCCTTCATGATCACCAATATTTCTTTCAGGTCTAAAATTCTAGGTTCTGTGGAGCCTTTGTGAATGGATGAGAGGTGACCCGCTCCGTGCCTTTTTGAGAATAAGGGATTTAACCTTAATTCACACCTGCTTTCAACCTGCTCTGTTCGGATTCTTAAATCCACTACAATCATTTTAAAGTTCCCAAAGATAGGCAAGATCCCAAATCCTTCTGTTTCTCCCTCCAGGAAATCCCAGGATCTCTAATACTCTGCTTTCAAGACTGAAATTCTTAGGACACTTTCACGGCTGCTGCAGAGCTCAAGAAAGTCAGCTTGGCATTGGCATGGCAGTATTCATTCTTGAAACGCAAAGCTGACAGGTCACCACCTGTGAGCCCCTCGCGAGCCTGCGCCCATCAGCTCTGTCTCGGGGCACAGGCAAGACGCGGCGCTGACTTGTTCCCGCGCATGCTCCTCACCTCACTTCTGGGCTAGTCCCACGGCAGGGCTCGCACCCGTGGCTGCTGCTCTCACACCACATTCCGTGACACCAGGGCCACGTGACAGGTCCCCCCACACACGTGTACAGTTCCAAAGAATTCTACACGCATGATTCCATGTGATCCTTCGAGCAGCTACAGGAGAAAGGCTGGCGGATTATTAAACCTAACCTGGCAGACGACGAGAAGGGGGTGAGAGGTTTTTCCAAAATCACACCGCAGGCAAAAGATGGGCCACATTTTGAGTCCGAGTAAAACTGTTCTTTCCCGGGTCCCTCTCCATGGCTCGGTTTCCACAACTTGCTAAGAAACTACACTCCCCCCCTCTTTTGCAAGGGGCCCTGTACTTCTGTGAGTGCTGGGTTCTGAGGGCTGCCCTGTTCTCTGGGCGCCTCGTCTGGGCATCCTCCTGGGGCAGCTCTTCTTCCACTCTGCTGCTGCGCTCCTTGTTCCCTGAGGTGTGGCTGCCCTCACCGAGAGCGACACCGCTGGCTGGCCCAGCGGCGTTCGGCCTGGTTACCCCGGCTCCTGTGTGTGCCCGGGTCACGGCACACACATCAAAGGCCAAACTTCCTGGGATTGGCTGAGGAGAGGATTTACACAGCCCAGCTTGCCCTCGGCAGCTCCATTTATCACTGCCTGAGAGATATTAGCATGGTTCCTTGTCACACACCTTATGCAGGGTGAGAGGGATACAGGTTTGTTTGTACAAGAGCTGCCAGGCGGCTGACTGACCTTGGTAGAAAGGGAGACAGTTACACAGCTGCTCAGGAACAAAAGCAAAGAAGGGAACATAAGTGAACTGTGCTCAACAGTACACTTTTTCTATTTGGGGGATGACTGGTGTTACTCTGAACCGCTGCTCTTAGTAGGGACCTCAACATGTCTGCGTCCCACACAAGTATCTCCTGTGTGTGTGTGTGTGTGTGTGTGTGTGTGTGTGTGCGCGTTGAAGGATGCCTGATAAATTTCCAAAATTCTGATTGTATTAGGAACATTCTGGAAGGGGAACTGTCAGGCAGGGCTCCGTTGGGCTCTAAGCCTCATAGGACAACCTCGCACCCACCTCCTATAATCAGAGACAGCTGCCCTGTGCAGACCCCACAGGAGCCAGCTAGAGATCTCTGATGGAAGGCCTCAGGCCTTTCCCGGGATAATACTGAATCAGGCATGGGCGTCTTGAAAAATAGAACACACTGAAACCTACAGAAGCAGCTCTCAGGGAAGGCTTTCTTTCAAAGCTGGAGGAATTATATGGCAAGGGTGGACAAAGATGCCTAAGGTAAGGCTTTATTTGTGTTAGGCCTTCCTTTAACTCAAAGATTTCTTGAGCTGTTTCAAAGCTGTTGGGAATTTTCTTAAGTTTGCACCCTTCCTGTGACCCTGAGTTCAGCTTTCCAGGTAGTTCTGTGGGCCCTATTATTCTTCTATTGTTCCTGTCCCATTGTTCATGACCAATTCTGTAGAATTCTCCTCAATCCCTTCCTCCTGACATTTTCCTTCAAGAAATAAAGTTCTCTGAGTTATTTTCTTTTTCTCTTCATGCTAGAAATATTAGTGTCTATGAAGAATGTGAGACAGCCTCCCAACCCCCATACAGATGGCGCAGACTCCTGTACCAGAAACCAGAAGAAAAGGAGTCAGGCTTGAATCGAAGAAATGTCTCTGGCAAACGGGACTTCAAATTGAGGGCTGAAGCCTGTCTTTTAACAACAAACTCATTCATTCTAAGAAAAAGCCTAACTAAATGAAAGGTGTAAATTCTGCGGGTTCTTCTGTGATCCCGGGAAATGCTAGACTGTGACTCTCTTGACACAGGACATGAACTGGAACTCTCTGGCAGACACCAGGCCCTGAATAAATAAATGCTTGCTGAATAAATGAATCATGTTACCTGCTCGGCCAGAATCTGCTGTTGTTGTTGCTGCTGCCTCTGCTCCCGCAGGAACTGTTGCTTCTGCTGCTCCATCAGCTGGGCCCGCTGGTCAATGAGCATCTGCTTCATGATGGCTGCCTGGGGCTGGCTGCCGAGGAAGCCAGGGCCCGCGGGACTGGCCCCTGACACCATGCCGCCCGAGCCTGGCGGCACCGAGGACTGCATGGGGCCTGTGGTCCGGGGGAGTCCAACTGGGTGCTGCTCCTGGGAAGACAGGAAGACGAGAGAATGCACAGATTTCACATCTGAAAGGAAGCATGGGGCAGAGAGCCAAGGCTCTCCGTGGACCCAAGGGGTCCTGAGAGGCACACATTCTACTCCACAGAAACAATCCAGTAATCCTCAAATCTGGCCTTACCACGGTGGAACTGGAGAGGTACAGGGGATCAGTAATAGAGGATGGCGCTGGGACATCTGAGAGCAAGTCTAGTCTGTTTTGGATGGGGCTGATTAAGGGACAAAGACCAGGTAATCAGCTAACATTCTGCATTTCTCCAAAGGAAAGGGATGAAGACCTCAGGCTGGACCTTAAACCTCTTAACCTTTACTGCCCACCTGGCCTAAATGGACTCCTTCTTAGCTAGTAGGAGAGACCTTTACGGAAGAATTCTGGAATTTATTAAGCAATAGATCTACGATTCAATGGAATTCCAATTAATTTGCAACATTGGACAGCTTTGCTATACGTAAAAAGAAAAATCCTGCTAGTGGGAGTTGTTGATGGTGAGATCTGGAAACGTGTTACACTGAACAAAGCTACGTAATCTCCCGACATCTTTAAAAATAGAATCAAGCCTCCTATGTCTGGGACAGTTTATAATGTGGGGGTTGATTTGGGTCTTTGATTCTACAATTGTCTCAGTCAGATGATGGTAATTTTTAAGGACTGGTTCTTTTTTTTAAAAGATTTTATTTATTTATTTGACAGAGAGAGAAGGATTGGTTCTTAAGGGAGGAGGAAGTAAAGTGGTAGAAAACTACCCACAGAATCTAGTGACTACTTGGAGAATGTGCTCAGAGGGGAAGCCCATAACACCCAGATGGTGCTGGCCAGGAAAATCGCTGATGGGAAGAGTTGGTAGGTGATCATAAGATTCGGCTTCTAGATAGTTCCTCTCTTGTTCGTCCACTAAGCACACGTGGTCATGGCAAGTATTGTCCGAATATTCTGCAGAAATGTTCTTTTTAACTCATTCAAGTTTCAAGTAATTAATCTGAACACAGAGGATCTCATGTCTGAGATGAACACAAGTTAAATGGGCACGCATGTAGAGACATACCCAGTCCTAGGATGAGGTACCAACATGAAGTCGAAGTCATTAAGAAATGAATATGAATAACTCTATAGTTATTTAAATATTTTTGTATCCAGTCAAACTGGATTTTAGTATTTTTTCCTACTTCTGCTTTGCTATCTCTTTGGTACAGATATAGTCAATCAGGCTGGCACTGTCCTCTCAAAACATACAGTTGAGTTTGATCTCTGGCTCTCCTAGAGACACAGCCCTGGATCTCATTCCCCACAGCCTGGGCTCGTGGACCTTCCCTCTCTTTTGTGGTGCTTAGCCACTCCTGCTTCTCCTTCCAGCGGTGAGATAACTCAACCACATCTTCAGCTGCTCTTCTTCCCTCCCTCCACCGACAAGCGACACAAGCAAAACAAACAAAAAACCATTACTCCTTTCAGCCTGGGAACAAGAGGCCAAGAAGTCCTGGGGAGTTAGTGCAGTAGCCCAGGTCACACTTAGCCAATGGAAGAATTGGAAATAGCAGAATTGGAACACTGATCTTGAGTCTAAATTTAGTATTCCTTCCACTAGCCCAGGCCCTTCCCAGACTGCGGGTTGGTGGCGCCAAATGTACACCTAAGAATTGCTTGTAGACTAAATATATAGTGTGTCTCCCATAAGTGTACTGTGTTCTATTTTTCAAATGTAAGTGTTGTTGCAAAACCCTTTTTGTCTTTGTGTGACAATTATTAGGTAGACAGCTGTGAAATATTTATGTGAAAAAGAACTTATACTAAAAAATGCCAGGAACCTTTATGCTACCACAAAGTTTCCTTTAGGCCTGACCCCCACAGGCATCGTCTCTCCCATCCCCCAGGATTTGCTTTCTGTTTCCAAGCCCTTCCTTCCAATGGGATAAAGCTGCTTCTTGCCACCTTTAGAAACAAATGGCTGATTGACTAACACTTTAACAAACGGACTCAATAAACAGTTAACCAATCAGCAAAAATACAGAATACAGTTTTTTTTCCTCCCGTGTATTTCAGTATATTTAATATTTTCCAGTTTTGATAAGGAGGAGAAAGTTAGGAAAAAAAAAATGAGACCCAAGGGAACTTAAGTTTGCTTCAGCTAGTTTTATGAGTGGGCTGGTTTGGGCTGGCCCTGGGCTGGCGCTGTTTATCTTTGGGCAGTTTGAGATATTCTTGTCCTGTGTGACCAGCCCTGTGTAGCTGGGGCACATGCCCAGAAGTGGTAAGTAGTCCCGTGTTGCTCTCCTAGCCTTTTCTCCACCCTGGAAAGTAGGGGAGGGGCAAATGAGATGGTGATGTAGATACAACCAGCCACTTTTGGCCCCTGTCTTCCTGGTGGGAAAGAAATACTTCAAAAGCACGGAGGGGAGGGGGGGACGACTTCCCAAAGAGACAGGTATGTTATTACTTCCCAGGATTATGCATTTCTCCAAATGACTCCCTCCCAAAGGTTTTGCCTTGGGGTTTCCCTGAAGACCTAGGGACAGGAGGGCTATGTGCATTTTAAAGGCTTGCCTTCCAGATGAAACATCCGTGAATCTAAGTTGATACGCCTTTAGGACTTTCCCAACAAGCTCTAATACATTCAGTAGCAGGTGAGTGACACCTAGAGCCCCAGCCTCAAGTGTGTATTGCAAAGTGTGAAGCGCACCAAGTGACTTGCCTTACAAATGGAGCTGGCAGAGGCCATTAACTGTTTCATATTACATGGCAGCTTTTAACCTCCAGTCTAAGAGGGCTTAATGAGCAAGAGTCTGTAGAATTTCAGGATTTCAAGCCACTGCTCTTGTTTGTAAGGAGGACACACACTGCGTGTGCAATTAGAGAAAACCAGGCTGAGCTTTCGTCAGAGAAATATAATGCCTTGAAGACAAATGATGCAGTATTTTTAGTTTTAATTACTGGCTTTCTCCACCCCGCCCCCTGCCCAAGGACCTCCCTTGCCTTCTCGATAGCTTCCCCTCAGAAAGGCAACTGGCTACACAGACCCTCATTACTCCCCACACCTTCTCACTCTTCAGTAAAATAAAGGGAGGGGGGGGCAAAAAACAAAACCAATGAACCCATTTTACATAGCTTCTTCTCCAGGGAAAAGATCTTAGCAATTTTCTAAGGGCTGGAGAGAGGTAGGAGGTGTAAAAAACTCCCTACCTCCTCCAAAGAGGCAGTTTCCTACTTCAAAAAAACAGCTGTGGTAAAATTATCTCCCAAGAGCAGCCAGCTGTTTATTTATAAACCTGTGCGTAGCGAAGCTTTATTTCTCTTAAGTGTTTTCAAGAACAAGCGTAGTGTTTGGGTGAGAGGGGCTGGGGTGGCTGGCGGCGAACCAAAAGAGTGCCGGCTCCGGGGAGGGGGCTCCCAAAAGGCTGCCGGCGGAGACGAGGCCGGGGTGCCGTGACTTGGGGGAGAACTGGGGTGGGGGGGCTCGAGGAGGCCCCAGGCTGCAGCCTTTTCCAGGCGGTCCCTCGTCGGAGGAACAAGGAGCAGCTGCTGTTCTCCCCCTGCCCCAGCAGATGGTGGTGTCAGCCCGGCGCTCCGGCTTGCAGAGCCAGCTCCGCCCGCGCGGCGCCCCCCCCCCCCGCAGATGGCTTAATCATGACTCCTGTTCCTCCCCCCCCCCGGCCCCCGCCCCCCGCCCCGCGCGTCTGGGCGGACGCTGCGAACGTGGAGCCAGGCAGTCAAGTGTTACTGCGTACAGCAGGTAGCCTGGCAACTGAGAGCATAATACCGAGCAGATGGTGTTCGCACGGCGTGATGGACATCACACACGACAGCCTGAGACAATCCAGGAATTCCCTGGTGAATCGAGGCCCTCTTTACACAAAATGAGTTCTCTCTCCATTGCCGTGTATCTCTGGGGTTATCTGCCCCCCTCTCTCCGACTGACACCGAACTGGTTTCTTATTACCGACTTTCCTTCCAGCCCGAGGGGAGGGAGATTTCAGGTCGGGGTGGGGAGGCCGGGGAAGGAAACGGAAGGGCTGGGAGCGGAGGAGATGGCGGGGGGGCGGTGGCGCCCGGAGCGGGGAGGGCGAGCGGCGTACACCAGCCCCCGGGGCTGACCCTCCGAGAGGGGCAGAGTTCCCCGCAGCCCCGGCTGCACAAAGCCGGCGCGGAGGGCGGCGCTGAGGGAGGCCTCGGCTCAGAGTCTTTGCAATCACATGGCCTACGAACAGCCTAAATGAAATTTAGGATTTTACTTAAAAAGTCCCCTGGGGCGTAATTTAGCCTCTTGACTCGATCCTATACGCTTACAAGTCCTTAGGGGGCTCTAAGAACTCAGGAGTGGGGCGGCAGGCCTGAAGATGCCTCTCAGCGCAGGCGTCTCTAACAAAGAAACAGACGAGGCGGTCCCGGGCTCGGGCGAGTCGCCCGGGGGCCGCGGAGGTCCTTGGCCGGCGCGCGCTGCTGCTGAGCGGGTGAGCCGGGCGCGCTCCGGGGACGCATTTCCCGGGTCCCCGGCACACCGTGCGTGCCCGGGGCCAGGAAGGAAATGGGTACTTAGGGCTACCGAGGAGAGAGGAGGGTTGTTCATGTAGGAAAAAGTAAGAATAATAAAATGGATGTCCCAGAAAACAAATCTATGCTTTTCACACACACTGAACTGGATCAAGTAATTAAAAAAATCAACCTCCAGCCCAAACGGAATTTTGCCTAGATTCTATACATCAAGAGGCTCCTATGTCCAACCAATCACCAGCATCCAGAGGCTTTCTCCTGCAAAGATACTATTCAAGTTTTAAGTTTCAGAAGAAGGAAGTCTTTTCAAAGGCGGAAGCTAACGTTTCACGCAGAACATCACACTTGGTGGGAAAGAGTTCAGCAGTTCTCTGTCAGAGGGCAGCACAGGATAAATCCGACACCCACTGCAGCCTGATGGACGCGTCTGGCTGTGACTCCCAGAGGCTCAGGGTGGTGAACCGGCATTCTGAGGCTCTGGGAA